TGACTACTACCAGCCAGGGAGCCCCAGCACTGTGCTCGCCCCAGGCACACTCAGCTGAACCAACACAGGCCTGGTAGGAAAACCTGCATTTGACCCAGGTTGGTTACAGCCTGGTCAATAAGAAGTGGTAAGGAAGGGCATGATGTTGGACCAAACAAGAAGATATAAAATGGTTTCCTGTAAGAGATGTACTACAAGTAGAAAAGCAAGCTACTATTGTTCATAGATGACAATGGAAAGGGAGAGGGGCCTAGTGAAAACCCCAGGGCTGTCACTCAGGAATGGAAAGACAATGTGTAAACCTCTGTCGTCACTTTTAGTTTCAGTTTTCTTCTTTTGTTTGTTTGGTTGGTTGGTTCTTGCTTTTTGAGGCAGGGTTTCTCTGTGTAGCCCTGACTGCCCTGGAACTCACCCTGTAGACCAAGCTGGCCTTGAATTCAGAGATCCGCCTGCCTCTGCCTCCCTGAGGCCTGTGATCAGAGGTGTGCACCACCACTGCCTAGCACAGTTTTTGTTTTATAAGCACTGATTTACTTTTGATTAAACATTCAAACATAACCATGTGCTAGAAACACAAAGCTGAGCAAGAAGATCCTCACCTGGAGCAAAATATCATGAGTGAGAGAAAGCTAAGAACCACGATGCAGTGGGAGACAGAGCAGCGGGAATGTGCTGTGCACCAGGAATCACACAGTCAGAAATTCCTCAAGAGAGGAAGAGGCCAAAGGAAGAGAAACCTGAACTCACGCTAAGATAAGGCCAGGAGCTGGGGAAGGAGAAAGGTCCTTCAAGGCAAAAGGCGGCAGGCATGAGCAGGTGCGGGTCCTGGGAACTTCTCAAAGCCTGAAAGAAGCTGAGGAGCTGTGCAGGGGGAGATGACAAAGCCTTGCCAACAAGCTGGGGATGTGGTCTACAGCAACAAAAAGGCACGGATGTTTAAACACAGACCACACCATCAATTAATTGCACCTTTTAGATAAGTATCTGGCAGCTACTCCAGGAAGTGAGAAAGCAGAGAGACCTGGTGGGAGGAGGCTACAGTCATGCAGGGGACAGATGGTGAGGGCTGGAGTCAGCATTAGAGAAATAGTTAAGATAGACTCCACAGAGCTCAGGGCTGTTGAATTCGGAACCGCAACCCATTAACTCTGTGGTCCATTCATTATAGCAGATGAAGAGAGCAGATCGGCTCTACGTGTCAGGCAGGATGAGACTGACTATACATCTGTCCCTCAACTCCTGTGACTACCTGGACAAGGATACTAACTCCGAACAAGGGAGGAAAGGCCGGGTTTATCTCGTGCCGCCTGAGGTACTAAGAAATAGCCAAGGAGTGGTGCTAGTTTCCCGGGTCCACGGCTCAGCCGCTGTGTGGAACGACAGCAAGTCATCAGACACCTTCCTGAGCATGGATTTCAGGACAGGCGTCTCCAGGCCTAACTGGGCACCAAATTACATGGGAGATTTTTAAAATACAGATTCTCTAACCTAACCCAACTAACAGAATCCTAGCTTCAAAATGGGATTTTTACCCTATTTATAAATTGTTCCCAAGTCGCATAAAGATTCAGGAGATTTTCAAACTAAAACCCTAGTTTGAAAGTCAGAACTAGATTCAAAGTCTTGCCATAATCCATAGCTTTGCAAGCCTGGGCAAGTCGTTTACTCTGTATTAACTCTTGGTCAACACTTGAGGAAAACCCACGAGCAAGTCCACTCGGAGACTGATGCTGGGAAGACACAGCCCAACCGCACACGAGAACGCTCCTCTTCCTGAGGAAGCCTCACGCCCAGTACTAACACCGGCAAAGCATCATCTACTTCTTATGCAATCTGTCTTCACCAAGTCCTTCCCTCGGGACTTAGGATGTAAGTCGCTTCCTAAGATGCCCATCTACCTGCCTGGTCACCCAATGCTCCCCACACTGTCCAAGCAGGCACTTGATAGGTAATTCCTGGACTCAGGGATAAATGACTGGGTACCAAACCATGACCTTTAAAGAGAGAATAACCAATCCCTTTCCAAAATGTTTCAAAATCACGTTTTACTTCAGTTACTGTTTTTAAAACATTTTTCTGTTTTTAACATCGAAATTTCTCCAATCTAATACTTTATAGTGAGTATGAAAATCATGCAGCCACACAAATGTTTATGACAGGCATATGAAGAAACACACATAGACATATAAAACCATAATGACAACTGCGATTATGTAAAATACAGATGGAGAAAAGAAAACAAAAGGAAATACATCCAAATGCAAACAGGAGTTCGGCTGCAATGATAATTATTTTTGCAACAGAGTTGCATCAGTCTTATTATGTTTCATGACTTCCAAAAAGTCATCAATCTAGTTGGTTCATGTAAGTTTATTTATTTGTTTGGTTTTGGTTTTTCGAGGCAGAGTTTCTCTATGTAATAATTCTAGCTGCCCTGGAACTCACTTTGTAGACCAGGCTGGCTTGGACTCACTAAGATCCTCCTGTCTCTGCCTCTCAAGTGCTGGGATTAAAGGCAGGTGTCCGTCACCACCCGGCTTGTTTTTAAGTTTTAAGCTATGTGTATGTATGTATGTATGTGTATGCATGTGTGAGTGCAAGTATCCCCAGAGTCCAGAAGAGCGGGCTGGATCCCTTGGAGTTGGAGTTACAGTCAGTTGTGAACCTGAAGTGGGTGTTGGGAACCAAACTCAGGTCCCGTGCAAGAAGTAGGTCATCACAACATGCTCTTCTCTGCCTAGCCAGCTCTGGCCCCCAGTTCCTTCATGACTTATTCCCAAACTATACAAGTATCCCAGTATCTGAGTGGCTGGTACTGTTCAAGGGTCAAGGACACAGAACGAGTCATGGTTTCACTTCATTCCGAACTAGTGTTTGAAGAACTTTATCCTCACTTCTTCACCCCACTCCATCTAGATTTCTCTTTAGAAAAAGAAGCACCAAGAATAGCAGCACGCGCACGTGCACACCCCACGGTACACCTTCTGTCGGCTAATGAGCTACTCTAGCTACTACGGATGGGTGGTGACCAGCCCATCCTGAGCCGCACTGGGGAGCCAGTACTGTCACTGTCCCCATTTTACAGACAGAGACGTCACTGTTAGAGGTTAAACACTGTGCCCAAGATCAAACAGCTGGAACAATCAAGGTATCAACATTAGTTCCAACTATAACCATATATGTATGCACTAACATGTCTCTACACCAGCCAACAAAATTTTGCCTGTGTTTACAGGAGAAAATGGAGGGTGGGGTGGGTGCGGGGTAACATACAAAGAACCTTAATGTGAGCTCCTGTGCCTGGCAAGACTGCTTTTGAGTCTCAGATCTCTGCTGATAAGGACACTGAATGTGGCTGAATGTCTCAAAATACCAGTTTCAGTTGAAAATAAAATTAAAAGTAATGTATAACATACATGGCAATGTCTGAAGGATCATCTAAGGATAATAGACGACATGGGGCCAGCGAGAGTCTCACCAATGACTTAATGGTGCTGTGGGTGGGGTGCCCTGGGCTGTGAGGCCACAGACAACAATTAAAATATCAGTAGATTCATGTGCAGCCGCTAAGCCAAAAGAAAAACATCATTATGGTTTTGCTTCTAGACAGACAGAACAATCAATTAATGTGGACCTTAAATTTTTTTTAACCTTGGTTTTTATGTTATGTGTATGGGAGTTCTGCCTGCAGGGACGTCTGTGTACCACGTGCACAGTTTCTACAGAACCAGAAGAGGGTGCTGGACCCCCTGGCACTGAGGTCATAGGCTTCTGTGGACAGCCACGGGGGCACTGGGAATCCAACCCAGGTCCTCTGGAAGATCAGCAGTGTTCTAACTTCTGAGCCGTCCCTCTCTCTACGGGTACTTTTATCCACTAACACCGCCACTGCTCTCCAATCAAGACTGAAGAAAACAATACAGACTTTAGACCGGAAACAGAAAAGAGAATACTGAAAAATAATAAGTCATCAGAGAAAAGGGTGGGACAAGAGGGGCTTAGCTTAGGCCTAAAATACCCATAGAGGACAAATAATTCAATGTTCTGCAACTCCAGATGCACCACCACCACCACCCCCCACCACCACCACCACCCCCACCCCAGGTCAGTTTCCCCCAAGAACCAGCAGCATTGGGATTATTAGCCTGGGAGCTTTTTACAAATGCAAACTCCTGAATCCCCCTCCCAAGCCATGAACCAGAAGCCACCCTGTAAGAAGAACCCCAGGTGACAATACTTAGGTGGCTGATATGACAGATGAAACCCTAGAAGTTAGAGTGTCTTTATCACTGGTTACCTTGAACAACGAGTCAGAAGTTGTAGGAAGAAGTCAACAGCAAGTAAAAAAAAAAAAAAAAAAAAAAAAAAAAAGGAAACTTTCAAATGTTCTACGCAATAAATACATAAATAAATATAAATAAAATGTTCTAAGCAGCCATGCACAGTGGTACAACATGCCTGTAATTACAGCTAATTTGCAGGCTTACAAATTCAAGGCCAGCCTGGCCAGCACTGTAAGACACAACAAGGAAAAAAAAAACTAATCCCCGTATCAGATGAAGAGTGGTAGATAGGTTGGTATCAACTAAGACTTACAGACCATGAATATAATTTCTTAAAATAAGATGTCAGTGTACACTTGAGGGACCCATCCTCCCTAGGAGGGAACAACCAGCCCCTTTCTCAACAAGGAAGGGCAACGGTTGTTCCCTTACCTCACAGGATCGGGTCTAGTGGTCTATGGACTTAGCACTTTAAGCCAAAGAAGCTGTGCACAGGGTTGTCCAGTTCTACCGTGCGCATCACACAATCAGAGAGCAAGGTGACCTCTCAGAAGAAGTGTGAATAAGAGGACGACAGAAGGAGAAGAAATGATGGTCGGCCCCCAGTGCGGAGAGCACCGGCAGGTGGCCCACAGCTCATAAGCACGGGAGGAAGACGTTAACACAGTCAGGGCACAGCAAGCGCGGCTCTCGGTGAGCTCTGCCCATTGCACTCACCCAGCAGGGCAGCCACGATGCCCACCAGCCCTGTGCCAGCACCCAGCTCCACGGCAGAGCGGCCTCTGAGCTCCACAGCACCCATCTCCAGATACGCGGAAAGAACAATGGCCTGAGTCAAAGACACAATGTGATTATGATTAAGGTCAGCCAGTCACAAAGAGCTGTATGGCTTCAAGATGCCAAACGCTGTCAGGAAGAACAATGACCAAACATATCCATATCCATATATATTCTCTCTCTCTCCCTCTCTCCCCCCTTTCCCTCCTCTCTTCTCTCTCCTCCCTCCCTCCCTCTCTGCCTGCAAAGTTTAATTCCTCAAGAACAGGACCTTACCTGCTGCTGTAAGGTAACCTATCAGAGCAGACACAGGCACCGTGTGCCCCACTCCTTATGTAGAGTACATGCGAACCAGTGAACAGCTATATCTAAAAAGCTTAATGATTTATGTGTCACAGCACATTCTGTGAGGTTTAGAAACTCTTCTGGAAGAAATGATTTGCATGATCTTTGGTTTTCCTCCAGGCAATGTCCGGTTCCTGAGCCAAACTAAAAAGGAGCATTATAACACCCACGGCTCTCTGGGCCCTGCTGCTGGGTCACTGCCCAACAGAGACCCTGGTCATGTGCTGGGTGGGCATCAGAAGGTAGGTTTTCACCAAAAGTTTTAGAATTCCACATGCTCAGTGAGCATTTGCTTACAATCCCATCCTTTTTACTCCTTTTCCCCCACAACTATATACTCGGAGTATAATGGAATGTCTTCATGACGATCATTTATTTAACAGCCAAAGACAGAACTATCAGAAGTTCAAAGAATCTCTTTGAACTATGGAAAACTTAAAGCAAGATATTGTCAAGCTCTGTCTCGACACGTTCTTTGTGTGGTATTTCAGAAACTAACTTAATGAGTGACCAGGGCAAATGGGCTCCTGCTTTCCTGTCAGTTTTCTGATATTCACTGGGCAATCACTGGTCGGTCATTTCACTTCCCTCAGCTTTCAAAATGCGATGTGTAAGAGGACGCAGAGATGATGAAAAGCTTGTAAACTGGGGTAGTAATGGGTGCACTGCCATGAATACACTGAACAACCCAGTGATTTCTGCATACTTTACATTGGCGGAGAGCATATGTGAATTAGATCTCAATAAAGCAATCAGTTTTCCTTTTAAAATGTAGTCTAGTCTTATGGTGGTGGACATTTCCAGAGGCCCTCCAGAGCTGACTTACCGCATCCCAAACCACTGCTGCGACTCCCAGCTGCCTCCAGTCCTGACGGATCTGGATGGTGTGGCTTGCAAAAGAGAAAGTGGCAAGAGGCTTGTGGAATTTCTGGAGTCCTATGCCCGCGCTCTCGTCATAGGGCACCAGGGCCATTTCTCCTGAGTCTAACTAACTCCGCAAGTGGCTGAGACCTGTCATGCAAAAAGAATCCTGAGTGACGCCGTATCTTAAGTAACTTTAAAAAGCTACTGAAGCTATTCTACAAATTCAAAGAAACAGGTTGAGGTACATCCAGTTTCTTCTACAACTTTTCCTGAGTCTTACGGGGAGTGAAATTTGGCTCTGAGTTCCTGTCAACTGATAACCTCTGGGGGGGGGGGGGGAACACCCAGACCTCGCCAACTCCGTGAGGGCGCCCTACATACAGGCTCCCGCTACTCTGCATGGGTCTGGAGCTCCATAAAGGTGCAAGAAGTGACAGCCCTGGGCATCTGACCTGTCCCGACACGACAGAACCACCACTTCCCGACTTCCGTATTTTTGCTGTTTTCTTGGTCTTCCCGCCTACATCCCCACGTCTAGCTGGGACAAGGGAGCCGAATGGATAGTTAGGCTGAATCTTAACGGTCCGCCCTGCCTTTCGATCCTCGCTGGCTCGCTACGGCGGTGGTGGAGGGTCACTCTGAAGGCTGGAGTCGACCACACTGGCGGAAATCGCGCTGAGCACCGATGCACATCTGCAGGATTCCCCCACGCCCCCCGCCCCCCGGTCCCGCCCGCCACCTCGGGGCCAACAGATGCGCCGTCCTCACGCCCACGGCAGGGTCCCCGAGAACCCGCCGCGGGTGGAAAGAGGACTCGGCAGGGCGATCCACCCCCGCCCTCTGGGACCTTTGGGACCTTGGCGGGAGGGAGGAGACGGAGCTCGCAAGCCACCCTGCGGCGGTGGCGACTCAAGGCTGTGATACTCACTCTTCCCGGAGGTTCCCTCGCGTGCAAAGCTCCGCCTTAAAAGGGCCGATGGACAGGAGGCGGGCGGGGGCGGTTTCCGGTCCGTCGCTTTAATGGCGCTGCACTGGGTTGACCGCCCCGGTTCTTTCGTTCCTCTTTTCGTAGGGGCCCCACGGTTTTGGGGGGCGCCAGGAAGGGAGGGCGAGCGCGCAGGGGCGTGGGGTACTCTGCACCGGCGGCGCTCTTGGGCCGATCTTATTTTTCAAAGTGGACAGGTCGTGGTGCACTTGGTTCCCGGGGACGCGTGGCCAACAAGTAGGGTACGAAGCGAAGTCACTGTCCGTTTTGTGGCCGTGAAGTGGGAAAGCCACGCCGAGCGTCCCCTTACTACGGCGCGGGTGGGGTGGGGGGGGGGGGGGGGGGGCCGGGCGGCGCCCCGGCCGGGTTTGGAGCCGGACCACGTGCAGCCGGCTCGGGCTCGGCCGGCCGACACGGCCACCTTTCTAGATTCTGCACTACGGCCTGGGCTGCAAACCCCCGACCCCGACCCCGACCCCGACCCCGACCCCGACCCCGACCCCGCCACCCGAGGGTCTCCGGGTGCCTCGCCTCGCCCAGCCGGCAGGCGGCGTGCCTGACCTCCGCATTTCCAGCACCAGCCCACGCAGGACTAGGGACAGGTGACTTGGAGGAAACTGTGGAAGCCAGTAAGCCAGTAAGATCCCTTTCCTCAAGTTACTGAGTGTTCTGTGTGGGTCATTTTTTTTCCTCTCCGTTTTTCTCTTAGTCTTCTCCTCACTTGCTCCATGGGTCTGTGCTGTCTCAGCCTCTCAGCTCCCCCTTTTCCTTTCCTTATTTTTAAATCTCACTGGTTTTCCGCTAGGAGAAATGTTAATTACTCCGATTTATTCAGTGAATACTTAAAGGACTTGGGTCTTACACTCAGGAGCTCTTTAGTACAAGGTCCCCAGTTGGAGCAGAACTGAAGCCGAAGTGAGATAGAAACCCTTGCTGTAATTGTGGCCATCTGGGGATGTTGCGGCGTTACTTAGGGGCAGCAGAACAGGGGTGAGAGCAAGCTAGGAGACTTCAAAAGTGGGGGTACAGGGGCCTGGAAGTGACGACTTGGAGCTTTGAGAACACCTGTTGCTCTTGCAGAGGACGCAGGTTCAGTACCCAGCACCCACCTAATGACTCACAAACACCCAAGACTCCAGTTCCAGGGGCCCGGTGCCCTCTTCCGATCCCTGCAGGTACCAAGCACGCATATGGTGCACATATATATGTACAGTCAAAAGAGTCATACACACACACACACACACACACACACACACACACACACACGGCGTAGAAAAGAAGTTTAAATGAGGTAAATGTTTGAGTGTGGGTGTTGAGTTGTTTGGCAAGGTAGGAATTCTTTTGGAGACTCTCCAGGAATATAAGAACTTCCTGGTTGTCCACTTGACTCAGTGTCAGCATCAGAGGAGGACTCACTAATTAAACTGCAGTTCTAAGAACTGAGAAGACACTTCACCGACAGCCTCATTTGACTGGGTTTTGGTTGTGTTGCGCATTGTTTGTTTAACTGTGTAAAGATGTGTTGCTGTTTTACCTTGCCTGCCTAAGGCACCTGATTGGTCTAATAGAGAGCTGAATGGCCAATAGCGAGGGAGGAAGTATAGACAGGGAGAGTAAGGAGGAGGAGGAGGAACTTAAGCTGGGGGCGGGGAGAAAAAGAGAGGACAGGGAGACACCAGAGGCCAGCCAGCCAGACACAGAGGAAACAAGAAAGTAGACTATACGAATGAAAGGAAGGTAAACAGCCGGGAGGCAAAATGTAGATGAATAGAAACAGGTTAAATTAAGTTAAAAGAGCTAGTGGGATAAGCCTATGCCGAGGCCCAGCATTCACAATAAGTCTCCATGTCTTTATTGGTTGTCTTTGGTTGTCAGCCCAAAGAAAATGCCAAATACATGATTGTTTAGTTTTGTTTCAGGCAGGCTCTCCCTCTATAGCCTGGCCTTTTCTGGAACTCATGACAATCCTCCTGCCTCAGCTTGCTGAATGCTGGTATTATTTGTGTGAGCCACCATACCTGGCCTTACTTTCAGTCTTGTTGGGGATATGCAAAAGGGTCTTCTCTTTGTGTTGTCTGGGAATGATTCTAAAGTGCATTTAAATATAATGATCCATAGAATTGTGCTATTTTTCCTTCTAGAAAGATGGCCTGGGATCATTTCTGTGGTCTTCCTGGGACATTAGAACCAGACAGGGAACATGCTTGGTGCCTCCTCCAGATGGGCAGCCTCCCTGTGCACCTTCACAGGATGACGGGTGGCCACCTCCCTGCACACTCAGGGTAGGCTAGCGTTCACATAGGGCAGAGGCCATTAGTTGAGAGTGAAGGAGTTCGGGGAATGCCACCCTGAAGTGGAAAGGCTGGGGATGCTATTTTCTACTGAGGTTACTAGGGGGCTTTCTCTCGAGTTTCCTTCTTCTCCTGTTGCTTTCTGTAGTCCAGGGTCCTCTAAATTTCCAGATCTCAGAGGCTTAAAGGTATTCACTTTCCTTTCCTCGGTTCACCCTGCATACAACAGAATTGCCTTTCCCTCTCAGTCTGTCTACGGTCAGTGCACTCAAAGACATGGTTATTAAACCTTCAGAGATAGGTAAGTGGAAAGATCCCTCCCTGCTGCAGTAGCTGTGTGTGTGTGTGTGTGTGTGTGTGTGTGTGTGTGTGTGTGTGTGTGTGTGTGTGTATGCCATGGCACCTTTGTGGAAGGAAAGCACCTTTGTGTGGATAGTCTTCACTTTCCTCGTCTGGGACAGGATGGCTTTGTCCGCAGCAGCAGGTGCCATGTTGGCTGGCCTGCAAGCTTCTGGGAGCCCTCCTGGCTTCTCTGTGTCACTGTAGGAACACTGGGATTACAGACACGTGGCCTTAGTGGTCAAGCCCTACCCACGGAACCATCCCCCTAGCTCTGCAATACTTGTTTTATTTTTATCAACCAAACAGAAACTGCCTACTCCCATCATGCAGCAACTCCAAGAAGAATCAAGGAGGGCGCTTCTTTTGTCCTTCCTTTTTTCTGGAATTCTTCTGTGTTTGAGGTCACAGGAGCAGCCATCGTCACCTTGCTACAACTTGGTTTCTTACTCCTCTCACCTCCCACCGAATGGGAGCCCAACCCGAGGCTTTATGTAGACTTCAGAGTTGCTGTGGGCATCTGCTGTCGTTGCCTGCTCAGCGTCTATTTCCAGCTTTCCTGGAGCAGTTCTCCTGCTAATGGTCAGAATCCCTGCTTCTAGGATCCAGGTTCTGAGTCAGCTCCCAGTCTACACCTTACAGATGCCCCTCTGCTTACCAACTGGTTCCACTCAGATAAGCCCATTGTCAATCAAAAATACCGGGCGTTGAAAATGCACAGACTACCCTGAACCTAACGTCATACGGCTTAGGAACCCAGAATGCTGCAGACAGTCCGTTGTTTCTCCTCGTGACCATGCGGCTGACTGGAAGCTGCAGCTTGCTGCCCTGTTCAGCATCCCTAGGGAGGTTCCTGCTGCATATATCACCAGCCTGGGAAAAGCGCCAAGCTCAAAGTATGGTTTCTATTAAATGCACATCATTTTTACAGCGATGTAAGGTCAAATTATTACAAGTTGGGAATTGTATTAGCTGTGAGGGCTCATGTCTCAGTTGTCCATATATAAAATAAGAATAATGAGGTGACTGAATTAAAAAATGAAGAAGGTACTGAGTTCCTACTGAGAACTGGCCCCCTAAACAGGACACCACATATAATAGTTGCTGTTCCTGCTCTATATTTGGGGTGTACTATCCTGGGACCCAATTCTATGACTAGGCACAGGTCCCAGGCCTGGCTGTTGGGCACATTCCTTCCCTCTGAAACACACGTGCATTAGAAGTGAATGTATGGATAAAACGAGGCTTGACCAGAGCCCACCGTAAGGCTGGTTGGCACACACAGATAATCAGGTGAAGGAGAGAAGCTTGAAGTGGTCCAGTCTCTGCTCCCAAGAGAACTGAACCAGTAGGGAATGGTCCTGACAGAGGGAGAGGTGGTTTCTGTTACTGCCCTCTACCCACCTGGATCCAGTCAGCCTAGAATTTTCCATTATGTGAGCCATTAAATTCTTTAATTAGATTACACCCTTTGAGATGTTTTTTTGGTGTTGTTTTTCTGTAGAAGGAAAACTATCGTAATGTATTCAGTCTGGCTGATCCCTTGAACAAAGAAGATAAAAAAATCATGCTAAAAAAAATCAAGCTCATGATTGTCAGAGTGCTGTGGAAATGGAGAAGCAGATGCCTGCAGAAACCCAGGGGCAGAGCTGCTAGGCTGCCAAGTATTTCTAGTACTAAGCCCTTCCTGGATACATGTGGACTCCTGGGACCCCGTGGGTACCAGAGTAATGGGATAAAGTGTCCTTTATGCTTAATGCTGCTTGAGTATCTGAAACATACAGCCCAGGATCCTAATGAATAGGTGAATTGTAGTTTGGTTTTTGTTCTTGTGTTTCAGTAAGTCATGTAGACAGAACACAAACATTCTGTAAGTTCCTCGTACATGACTTAGTGATGCTAACTGGGCATCACATTTGCCAAAGCAACCTTGTCCTAAAAGATGAAGGTGTGTCAACAGACATCCAGTTCCTACCACACAGTCAGCAAATGTCTCGGGTTAGAATAGGCTCCATAAACATTTATGGCACCGGCTCTCTATCCTCTCAACCTCCTCTCTGCTCTTCTCTTTTCCCTTTCCAACATGGTCAGGATTGTAAGTGGCCCCGACTTGCCTCAGAGTTCTTGTGGCCTGGTCCCTCCCAGCAGTCTGTCCTCTGCGAAGATATCTTCCTTGAGCCACTGGGCCAAACCCAGCCACCCCCCAGATCCTGGCCCTGCCTCATCTTCCGTCACCCTCAGACTTTTCTACAGCACTTAAAGGGGCCCCGCTGGCCTCACAGCTTTCTTCTGGGACATTTGGAGCAACTATCGCTGGTCTTGCCTTTGTCCTACTTCCCTAACACTGCCTCCAGGCTTTCCCTAGGATGCTGCTTCCAAGGAAGCTCGCTTTTCATTTTGTTCCTGCAACCCTGCGGACTGGGCCACTTTACTCAAATCTAATTTGTTCAACGGTGCGTCTTAAGACAAGCCAGATCCTGTGCAGCCACCTGAGTGATGCCTTGGAAAGAACAGAGCATTTGCTAGGACAGGGCTTGAACTTGTGCTGTGTTCTTTAACAGTGTGACCTGGGTGGAGTTCACTAAAACTCGGTGAGCTTGTTTCCTGTCCTGGAGAGGGGGGCTAGTGATGAGGTCCATCCTGCACTGTATGGGGCTAGTGATGAGGTCCATCCTGCACTGTATGGGGTTAGTGATGAGGTCCATCCTGCACTGTATGGGGTTAGTGATGAGGTCCATCCTGCACTGTATGGGGTTAGTGATGAGGTCCATCCTGTACTGTATGGGGTTAGTGATGAGGTCCATC